TTCCAGTTTTCGGAGATATTTCCCGAAAAATCCATGGGAGCCATCCCTCTGAAGTCACTCATATCAGAACTGTTATCAATCACTAATATTACTATAAAGTACTACTTGTAATTACCGACTGCGCCATGTTAAGGTTCCTTGAATAGAAACAGCAGCTGGAGATAGACTGGCTTTTATTTTCTTTTCATACATTTTCGTTATCACTTTTTACATACAAGTACAATCCATGGACAAAGGATCTAGGTACAGTAAGTAGCAGAAATAACTACATTCATGACAACGTACCCAGTACGTGTCACGGGGGGGCCAGCTGGGGACGGAATCAGGTCTTTAAAGTTCGGCAAAGGGGTACTCTTACCATCTGACCTGAAAGACCACTCACCATACAAACTAATCGGCTTCTTTAAAAAGCTGGGTTTGTTTGGCCGAGTGAGAATAGGTGTGAGCCACAATAAACCCTTGCGGGTTGCGGTGTAGGGTCGAATAGACCCATTCACTTTGAACCTAAACTAACCTAAAGTGTCACGGGGGTCTACAAGAAATCCAAAGTAATCAAGATACACACGTTTTACGAACTTCGACACACTTGGTCTTCAGTTTTTGAATGGATATTCCCCACAGATTTCACCGAAATAGTTGGGATCGTTTTTACAGATATATCTCGATGTAGACATTGTAACAAAAAAATAAATTTGTGAAAGAATTGACTAAACATCTGAAAATTCAACTATGTCCAAAAAGTTCACAATGCCTGTGTCCGATTGATATTTTCGCTGAAACGAAGAGATCATGCAACAACATTCTTAAACAAGCTTGGGTGGCCAAAAATGTTAAATAGAAGGAAACATCACCTTGTATGCTTCGTTCATAAGTTATTGAGAAACCAATGTCCAGATTACCTCTACTACAAAATTACTCAACGTCACCAGTACCACTCTAGAAACCTTCGTAACATCAATATGCTTACCCTCCCGCATCGCTATCTTTTTTTGAACGTTAATTCTCTTATAACGCTGTAGCCGAGTACAACTCATATCCTGAAGAATTGAAATCACTATCATTTTTGCGTTTAAAAATAAAAAAGCCATCCTTCTCGGAAACAATGAATCTGTCTGAATTGAATCAAATTAAATTAAATTAAACCTAAATTAATTAGGTATCTAATGCATTTTACATCATGTTTTTTTTCAAATTAATTTACCTTTTGTCATATGATGTTAAAACCTAGATTAAGTCGTAGTTTTAAGATATGCTACTGTATCACTATTCATACACTCATGTATAAAAATATTCTTGGTTGAGTGGTAGAATAGTGTAAGCTAAACTCCGCCAAGATGAAAATAAAGACCATTTATTATTATTATTAATTAGACAAATAGTACACAAATATGTTCACTAGCTGTACCTCAGAAACTAGAGTTGTTGGAAAACGGAGGGTAGATTCGAAATCAGCGATCTCGAAGTAAACGGCAGCAATCAAAACCCACTCATTCCACTAGAAACCCATTTTTGTATTTTTATTTCACAGATCTACATCACTTGGGATGTTATGACGTGTGATAGCGTCAAGAACCAGAGTACACGAGTTATTTCTAACTGCTACTCGCTTCAGAGAAACTTGACGAATATTCCTTTGAAAGAAGAGGTGCTAACTTTGGCGCAGTGCGCCAAATACCAGAATCCGGAAGTTTCTGCTGCGGCATTTTTCGGAGTGGATCGTTCTGTATTGGTTTTGATCTTCACTACGTTGACCACATACTTGATTGTTTGTATCCAGTTTAACATGTATGTTTAGTTCTTGCTTGCCCTCCGGCAGACACTCATAGTTGGCAATGTTATATTTCGCGTTTTGAATAGTTTATAGAATTTTGAACCCACAATTAGGTATTTTGAAGAGACTTTTTTGTGATTAGGGATATTCAGAGACTCCAGGACATTTAGTCATATCAGTCATACGTGTCTTAGTTATTTAAGTAGTATACGGTATAAAGTATGCACCATATGGAAAACTTATTTATTGGGCGTTTTCGACAAAAAGTTATTCTTGATGAAATTCTGTGCATCTCCTGAAACTAAAAATGCACCAGCAAAATTCAGAAAAACACACATAATTTACGAGGAGCCTTCAAATATTTGATTTTGAGACAAGAGAAAGGTATTCTTATTTTCAAAAAAGTTGTTCAGCATCAAAAAATACATATAGATTTGAAGTCATGGCCATCTAAGTGGAGTTTTATTTTTTTACCAATTTTTTTTCAAAATGGGGACTACGAAAAATAAAATTTGCTAAAACGATAAATAGACAGCATCCTGTATATGACGGTTTATTTTTGAAGCCTGCAATGTCACAAATTACACAACTATGATGTTAAACACAGTAAATTTTTTCAAAAAGTAAAATAATTTTCAATATGTTTGGTGCAAAGTTATTTTTATTTTTTGTTAACAACGAAAATTACTCAAAATTATACTGTATTGTAACAAGAACTTAATATTCAATAATATCAAATCACAAAACATCAAAATAAAATAGGTATTTTGGAACAAACTCATTGATTTTCTTGAGATTATTTTGGAAAAGAAAATCTCCATTTTACCATCCCCTTATTGACTGCATACCCGAAAATTATAAAAGATTCTTCTTCAACCGAGAAAGTCGTCGAACGTTCATTATTTCTGTATTTATTATACGATGAGTTAAACTTGAGAACTCTTTCTCACATATATATGTGGTGCAAAACCCAACAAGAAATTTAATAGCAGTGTGAGGCAGTATCTGCGAGATTATCTTCCATAATGGTTAACGATGAGATTGGAACCTTTGATGTGAAAGTTGAATAACTTTTTTCGAGATCAATTGCCCTAACACCAAACTGATATTTTTGCACTCGACGCGCGTTTCGCCAACAAAGTTAAATACATTTGTGTTAGTATTTAAACAATTGATGATTAGTGTCTACAGGTTGACATATATTATTGGAGATTGGATATTTCGTTAGTAGTTATTTGTTACGAAAAACTGAAGGAAAGACAAGTATTTATATGTTTTGCAATAAGTATATCACTAAGGAACTATTTGTTTCAATAAATTTCTTAACGAGCATTTTGTAATTTCTTAAAATCCGTGTTTGCTTTATATCGAGAGGTATTGCATTATATAGCTTGGGTCCAAAGTAAAAAAGTATTCTTTGGGTATGGCTTTTTCTAAATACTCTCTCATTCAATGTAACTACATTTGAAATTACCGAAACAACACTATCACGAATTATGCTAACATTGTTTAATTTAACGATAGGAAGTACAGCATCTTACTGACCACCCTCGACCAATATTCGCACATATTTAAACGATTTGACAGATTATTTTTCAGACTTAAACAAGCGAAATATAGAAATATTTTTAGGAGATACCAACATTAGCCTCCTTGATGAAAATAATAATGACGTAAATTACTACATGAACATACTAACAGAAAATGGCTATATTTCGTACATCAATGAACCCACGCGAATTACAGACGATTCTACAACAATTATAGACCATATATTTCTTAGAAAACNCAGCTATTCACTCTAATTTCATTTGTTCTTTCATAAATTTCGAATCATATGAATTTTGTATCTTACTAGTAATTTATTATGTGATATTTTTTTAAAGTGCTCATCTACATTTATAATTATTGTTACTCGTAATTTTATACTATGTTTTTATGTGATATGTAGATTTCATTCCCATTTAACTTTTCCAATATTTTATATTGATATTTCATTTTATATTCATTCAACTTTTACTTTTCTACTGAGTCTCACACATTACATCAAAATCTACAATTATACATGTTTATATATAGAAAAAATTATACACATCATCATCACGCACAAGCTGTACCCAATTCAGGTTCAGTGATTTCCCTGTTTATTCATTCATATGTATATTATATGTGAGAAGTATGTATAACATCAATTTTTATTTGTTGAATAAACATTATTATTATATATTTTTTTTTCACCGTAGTGTGCGCTGGTCAGGCCTTATCCCTGGAAGCCCCGATACATTCGGGAGGGCGCGCCAGCATTATCAACCAAAAATCTCGATATTTTATTCGTTTCTCCTCCTCTTTTCTGACGATATTCGTCTCACCAGGAGCTGAAAACTCCACGACAAATATCGTTTTGCTCTGGTGGTCGAGAAGGACTAAATCAGGCTTATCAGCTTGTATGAGCCTGAGAGTGGGGAACGAATAGTTCCAATAATAGTTCCAATATTATTATTATTATTTTTCAATGGAAGTCCGAACTAGTAAAGTTCGCCATGAAACATTATCAACCACTTTCAAACAAACGATAAATTCAGTTGTTTTCGATGTGTTTGCTATCTATACTGTTTTTTATTTTACTAAAAGGGGAGTTTTGTTTGTGAGAGATAAACATTTCAATATATTGATTGATATTCGAAGTAAATATGGTAAATGGATCATTGAATCAACAAACCCGTGTTTCATCGTCAACGACTTTTTTGTTGTTAATAGAAGTGTATCATGTGCTGATATCGAAGGGTTTGTCACTAAGATGAGAAATATATGCAAAAGACTGAAAAGCAAAAATAAATAAACTCATATCAATGACTTTGGAAACAAATAATGAAGACGGTTAATGAATATAATAGTGTTGCGATTATTCCAGCTTTTGCTTTGCACTTGAACGCCTTGAAAAGCCCCGTTTATATACAAGATGGAGATGTTATTCCATCATTCATAGTTTTTTTTCATAAACTACACCTCTCGATTTGATTTCCAAAAACTTTATTTGAAAAATATATTACATATTTTGCTAACACAATAGCTTTATCAACAGTGATTTGAATATTCAAGTTGCTTCTTACACTTACCCCACCTTTATCACTGCACCATCAGTGAAATTATTAGAAAGGCTAATCAGTATCATCTCGAACCATTGTAACTTCAAACCAAAATTCGGTCTACGGAATTCATATGACTTGATCAATAAAATAGAGAACATACCTCTACCAGACAACGCAAAATTACTATCCTTTGATGTGCATAATCTATTTTCCAGCATACCTCCTGATGATACTATTACTTTAGTAATAGAATTATCAGATAAAAATAGAGTGAACTCATTTATAAAACGAGAAACTATACAAAGTAGCAGCTTATAATAGCATGATTCACAGATTAGTCAATATTCCGCTTTCAATAGATAATTTCAATAACGAACTCATTATAATCAAGCAAATGGTAGTAAACAATTGGTTTAAAGCCGCATTAATAACCGAAATACTGCCCAAAAAAGTCTACGCAAAAGCGATTCGAGAAGTTTTTCCTATTGATAAGTTAGATAATCAAAATTAAAGCATATTTTAACAAACATGTTTTGGACAATCAACAGAAAGAGTGGCTTCATTTCTGAGGAAAAGAGATATTAAAATTGCATATACAACAAGTTATCCGTTGGGAAAGTTAGTTGAAAATGACAATGAAGATAAAACATCCAAATTCGAGAAATCAGGAGTAGATAAATTGAAGTGTAACGTGTAGTAATGTATATATTGGTCAAACTGGCAGAACATTTAGGAGTCGAATCCATGAATATCATATGAGCTATGTAAATAAGAAAACAAGTTCAACATATTCAAATCATCTTTTAGAAGGAAATCATATCTTAAACGAAGAGTTCGACTTTTTACACATAGAAAACAAATGTTTGAAACTGAATAATTTTTAAGCAATGGAAATTAATAAACTTTGAAATTCAAACATTCTAATGAATGACCAACTGAATTTGAAAAGATCACCATTATTGAACTTTTTTCTTGGAAAAACCGGAAATGAATTAGTATTATTGATGTAGAAGTGGGGTAATATGCTTCAGGTAATCATAATTGATGAGATACCTCAGGTAGAGGTTTAGGTAATTTGTGGGAGGTAGTCTCAATTACCTGTAGTATATAAATATTAGTGTGAGAACTAACTTGAGTATTCAAACCACTGTTGATAAAGCTATTGTGCTGGAAACATGTCATGATATATTTTTCGAATAAAGTTTGTGGAAATCAAATCTTGAGGTGAAGTTTATCAAATTACTATGGATCTTCATCAAGAAACGGCCGAACCAATCAGAAAAAAAAAGTTTTACTCGTTGCCATCAGCGTCCTTCAATACAAATTGATGTTCACGAACTACTTGTTCTGATGATGTTATTATTCCTCGTACTGTGGGGCATTTCTCCGAAATTTTAAAAATGTACCTACTCATAAATAAGACGAAGTCTTTGATTCCATTTTTATTTGCTTACTTTGCTTGCTTTGGTGTTCATGTAAGGTTATAACTTCAATTGTCAAATTTTCCGTTTTGTATTCTTTTCCTTATTTTCAGGCTTTTGTTACACTGAAGATGACCACAACCGTGATCGACACATGTATGTTTTTTCGATCGAATAATGAAATATATTACTCTATTTTTTGTGTGGGGAAGACTTCGAGTTTACCTTCCTCTTCAAATATTCATACTCCACTTTTAGTTATGGACTATATCGGTCGATTGGACAATTGTTAAAGATGACTTAATAAAACCTACAATCATCATCATGGATATATGTTCTCAGATATTGAATCAACTGACCTTCTTCTTCTATAATGATCATTTGTTTCTTCATTCTTCTCGAAATTCACATGATCGAGACCGAGGACTTTTCCATACAGTTA